GGTCCTTGTAATTTTGGATTTATGTTACTAACTATAACTAACTTTCTAAAATCTACATATAAACCCCTTAACTTTACACTTTGATTTTATTTTGAGTAAGTTACCTCTTTAGTCCCTATGGTTTGTTGAAAATATCTGTTTTTATTCTTGTGGTTTTTAAAATTACGATTTTCATCCTTATAAATTATAATTCATTTCCATTTTTATCTTTATGATTAAAACTTTATTTTTTTTTTTCGTTTCTATAGTTTAAAAGTCATTTTTATTTTAGTCTTTTATGCATAAAAGTAGTGTTCTAACTCAAGGACGAAAATAGAAATGAATTGTAAACTATATAAACTAAAACTGAAGTTTTGATACCACAAGAATGAAATCCAAAATTTGTAACAAACCACAGGGACCAAAAAAGGAATTTATTCATTTATTTTGGATATTTTTTTGAATACTTACATTTTCTGCCTTTTGCATCCAGACTACACATTGTTTTCCATCAGAAGAACGTGGCTCTAATTACTCTAAGTAAGGGGTTATTCATCAAATACTTATTCGGTAAGTGTTTATGGATAAAATTTAACATTATCATTTATTTATCGGGTAAGATTTTAGTCCACCAAAACAATATCGTATGCAACAATTTACCCGGATAGTGCTTACCGTAGTAAGAGTCGTCGATCTCACTTACCGGGTAAGACTCTTGGTCCTTGTCTCACTCTTACCGAATAAGATTATTGGTCGTTATCATATTCATCCGATAAGGTAATATGACTTGATAAACGCTTACACGGGTAAACGTTTCGTAAATTGCCCCTAAGTCAGTTTTGTAAAGAATCAACATATCACAGTATTTGAGAATATGATAATATAACTAATACTTTTATTTCAAGAAAATGCACAAACACATCGTTTCATGTGTTTAATATTCATGTTTTATTATTTGAGGTTATGGTTGGTCTCCCGTTTGTTCATGTTTTGTTTGGTTTTTCCTTTAAAATTAATATAGTGTTTAATATTTTTTCTGACACTATACTGAATTTAAATTTATAAGACCAACAGTAATATGTTCATCCAAATAGCCCACATCGCATCCAAAAGCGCGGTTTAAAACCTTCATGGTCCACTTTGCAGTTTGCATTATTTTATCAAACTGCGCTATGCGGTGCGGTTTACGGTTTTGAGTTATCAAAGTATGGTAAAACCGCACTTCACCACATATTTTGTACATTTTTTAATTTTATATAACACACATTTATATGTGTGTGTGTATATATATATATATRTATRTATGTAGAATAACGTAATATTTTTGGACTTTTAGTTTGATCCAATGTGACAATTGACAACATTAATAAATTAGTTGGACGCGTCATAACTCATACAACCCAATTCAATTTCAAGTTTATTTCTTTTACTTCTTAGATAATTTTTAATTGTGCAATATGTATTTAGGAATTGGATGTATTGACATTCTTTATTTATTTGGACCACGGTCACTTTATCGTCAATTATACAATTTATTTTTAAACTTATAATTATTAGATTATAGACATAAGTACGATAGATACAAACCACATAAACCGTACTGCACCATGCAGTGCGATTTGATGCAGTTTGAAGTTTATGCAGTGTGGTTTGCAGTTTGGAAAAATGTTTAAATCCGCATATACAACATGGTTTGCGATTTGGCTTAAAACTGTATCAAACCACACTGAGAATACCTCATGACACACTGTGTCATGTACAGTAACATTCCAACAACCTAACAAGTTTTATTGTTCTTTTAGTCGATTAGTCACTAAAATTCAATGTTTTGCTTTTTTAGTCAAAACTCTAAATCGGCTAAAATGATTCATTAAGTTAATAAAATGCCAAATAAAAAAAGTTAGCATCAAAATATATACCTAAAAAACTTGATAAAAAAATAAAAAAATGTGTCGTTATATCAAATTATGGAGGTTTTAAAAACACGGTAACCATGTGTACCAAGTCCAAAGACC